ATTTCTTTTTCATCGGGTCATTTGCATAAAAAACGCTGCAGTAACATTATCTTTGCTTTCTTCGTCTTTTTTAATTTACACTTATCATTTAGACACAGAAGCAACTGAACAATGATTTTACACGTGTTTCGCACCTGGAAATGATTGCTTTCTCCTATGCCGAAAAAATGCCTCACAAACGAGATGAATAACAATGAATTATTCAATTGCGCCGAGTTCCCAGTGGGCAATTGAATATTTAATACTCTGAGTTTAAATTGATGGCCAAGTTGCCGCTGGCCAGAGATCACTAATCTGAGCAGATGCAAATTTGTGCGATTACAAATTGCTTGTTCACGATGTGTTTTGGAGATTATGGTTGATTCATTTTCAACGTTCTTAATGATCTTCATTTACTTTGATCTTAGCCCATGCGGCTTTGGGAGAGCTGAGGGTAAGTAGAATAGATAAAATAGGTGTATTTGTAAACTAATGTAATCATTAACAATTCAAGATTCAAAATTCATGATCGAACCGAATACAATCTGGAGTCTATAGCAGAAATTTTTAATCGTCGCACTTGGTCCAGCAGCCTATAAACACTTTTTGATGAAGCATTGATGTGATCTTAATTCAGAAGAATTCTTGATTCATAGCGTTTAATGGAGTAGCATTTAAGGCTGTTCAACTGCTAGAGGTCGCTTAACAGAGCTCATCCATCAAGTTAGTTCAGTTGCTAGGTGACGCTGTAGGTCGCGATTTGAGGCATCGGTTGAGCCGGCAATTGAACCAAATGTTCTTGACGTAAGTTGAACATCCGCCAAAATTATCTGAGAAATTCTACTACTTTTAAACCAAGAGATTTTTTAATCTTGACCGTCCCTTTAATTCTTCAAAATATTTATTCCTTTGCCTACGTGGCCGGTGTACAAAGAGGAGAGATTCCCCTCCCAACTCCCGCCTCCCCCGTCCCTAAAATGATTGCACGACACCAGCTCTTTTAACACTTCCCAACGTAACTTTACCTCTGTCTCTGTCTCACTCTCTGTCCCTTGTACACTGGGCAAACAGCCTTTCCCTTAGTTTTCTTTAATAATTTCCTAAACTCGAAATATTTAGAAACCTGATAAAAAGAAACTTGGCAAAAATGGGTCGAACCAAGGACGCCTGTGCTTGGAGTTCTTGTACTAGCGAAGGGAAGAGTACCAACGTTCAATTGCCTCGGTTAATATCTCACCCCTCGGGGAGGGCGTGGATTCCGTCAACATGATGAATAATAAGGGAGTTGGACTCTACAATGGAAGGTGTGGATTCGGCGAACCCTTGTACCATTGTGTTATGTTCTTGGCTAAAATACTTCTATTTTCACAGCGCCTTTATCCACCTAGGATTTTGAATAGGAGCTCGTGATATCCTAGGGAAAGCGCTGACGCAATGCTGCGTGTGATTGATTAGTATCCCAACCAAGGAGAAAGACAAAATTACCAATGTCCTCATGCGACAAAAAAACTGGGATGGGTGGCAATGCGAGTCAGTCTCGGACAGTTTCGCATTTACCTTCCAGCCCCTTGGAGGATCTTTTTCAGCACCTTTGAAGCGCGCTTTTCTTATCGGTCAAAATGAATATGATCTCATGCTTATCACTTGTTCAAATTTTTCACCAGATCCCGACGAACTAGCCAATTCAATAAAGTACCAGTGTTTCTCAAATGGTATCGCTATTTCGCTGAACAAGAATCGCCTCTCAAACTTCAGTCACAGTTCATTTCACCTAAACGACAAATCTTGCACAGGAAAGCATATTAACACAACACACATTAGGTTACAAACTGAACTGGATGACTGCGGAACACTCAAGGAAATTCTCTTGAATGGCACTGTTATGTACACAAATCGAGTTTATGGATACTTGAAGGGAGAGAAAAATAAATCTGAGAGTGCTTCTAAGACATTTCAATTGAAATGTATAAAACCGTACAACTCGATAAGAAGAAACGGATCGACCTTGAAGTCTGATATCATTGCGCCTCATATTAGCACCCAAGAGAACTCTCTTGCTAAAGTTGGACATCTCCTCAAAGATTTTTCACTGCAACAAGAAAATGGTGAGTTCTGCAGGCGACCCTTTTCATAATGTAGCGGCAGTCAGTGATATATACGTGATATAGGAGAAACTCTCAAAATCAAGGCATATCTTCTTAAATGCGCAAGCTAATAATAGAGGAATTTTCGGCGGAGTATGCAAAGTAATCCAAAATGTATTGCTTTACTTCTTCATTGCTTTTTTCTGAACGCATAATAAAATTAATTGATGCTTTCTTTGTCCGCTTTATCCTTCCCCATTCCTTCGCATAATGATTTTAGTTTTTCTTTTTCGTCTTTTTTTTTTTCGTTCAGTAAGCTACCCTGGTCCTCAATTACCAATAACATACGAGACTAAGGAAATTGTACAAAATGGCGACGAAGTCAAGCTGACGGCCGAGTTCTCAACAAAACACCACGGAAAGAGGGATGATGTTCACTTTATTGGAGTCGCGGTGGAAAACTGCCACACTTCCTCTGATGAAATCTCCAGCAGTTCGCATGGCACCACCTTGATAGAGAACGGGTAAAACTGCTATGCACCTCTGACCAACTGTTCACACTTTTCTAACGTTTTGTTTATGATCATGATATTAGCATTCCTGAGCTAAAACATCAAGGAATGGGCTTCGTATGCAAAATCAATTTCGCTCGAGCGTCTCCATACAATGACTACAATTTCTAACACGATTAGGTTGTAGCTTTTTTTTTTAGTTGATAATTTTCAGTCAGCTATATTTGTATTATTTACTGTTTATAGCTGTGTGTCAGCACCACGCCTGTGTGGTTACTTCTTCCAGCAAAAGTCTCCTTCCCAGACAATCACATACAAGTTGCCTAGCTCCAAAGACGAGAAAAATGGAAGAGTGTACATTCAGTGTAGATTTATTCTTTGTCGGCGAAATGACACAGAGCCTTTGTGCATTTTTGGCTGCCGACCAAACAGGAAATTAAACTTGAACGAGACCCGCAGCGTCACGGTGAAAGCAGGACCTTTTTCCGTAAAAGAACCACTTGCGGTAGAAAGAAAAGGTTAGTTGACGACGCATATGTAATCACATAGCAGTTGTGAGTAACTCCGCTATCGTAGAAATCTTGAAATATTTTACATGATAGCAAGACTGAGGAAGAATTTCATTCAAAGATTTCTTTCAACTCGACCACTTTTTAGTCCGTGCGGTGTTTTCATTGGTTTTTGACTGCTTGGATTTAAATTCCATGAGTGACCAAGACATAATTTCTCCTTTCAATATCAATACAAAATCAAACAGACATGTAATGAGAATAAAGAAAAATATCTATTAGGGCATTATTAGGTGATTCAATACCAAGTTCTAAGAACTAACATGATGAGAATTTTATGGCAAACAGCCTGCTGGAGGAAAACTACAAATGAGACCTTGAAAATGAAATGGTTAAAACTACTGTTATCTTACTCAATTAGTGCACAGAGACGAGACTTTGTAATTCTCATTCGGATTAAAAAAAAAATCGCCTTCACTTTCCCAAGTTCTCCAGAACACGAAGAAACTTAGTCCTTTTTAAAATGGTCAATGTTCAAAGTGTTGCCGGGAAGGGGGGGAGGGGGGGGGCAACTGCAGTTACTTCAACTTAACTTTTCGCTCTTTGTTTATCGGCTGTTTCAGCAATCTCAGTCTCCCTCATACTGGAAGTAGGAACCGGGCTTCTTGCCCTCGTCGCTGTGGGTGTCTTTCTTTTTATTTGGAAACAGCGCCAAAGAGATAATTGCAAAGACAATTTAATATCCAACGACGAAGGACTGATCGAAAGTGAGATGGGATTCGACATCAGCGATACCGCATTATTCGACGGAAATGAATCACTGGAGGCTCCAAAGCAAGATGAATTGGATAGCTGCGCAGTCATTGAAAGAAGAAAATGGTTTCTTGACATGGATTGGACCACTGTTTAGCTTTTTGTGCCAAACACCGTAGAATTAATATTCTTAATAAAACAGATTGGATTTCATTACTAATATCCTAATTGCAATGCATCATCACCTTAATCTAGGCGACAAGATGTTAGGTTCGATTTCCGCCGCTCTCTCGGGCTCGGTCTTTCTCGTTCCTACCCGAGAAGGATGTACTTCTTTAGTAGAGCCGAACAAATGATTAAGACAGATTAAAAATTTAGTTAGGATTAATTCAAGGGGAAGAAGGTGATTTCACATAAATTAAGGATTGTCAGCCGATGGTAGATCTGACTGATTACGAAAATTGGTATAAAAAGCAAGCTGAAAACAACAGTGCTGCAGTTGATAGAGAGGGCTCTGTGATAGCGCTCCATCTTTTGTTTTTGTGACATCCTGGGTAGTGACCGAGTGAGTCGACGGGAATTTTCATTGGGCCAGTCAGTTCAAAATGATACTATCAATTGTTGTGCACGGCAAATAATTCCCCACAAAAACTGACAAAACCATGTGAAAAGTAAATTCTTCAGTTTCCATTTTCTTATCAGTCACCTCTACCAATGAAAACCACCTGGGGGTGGGAGTGGGGGTCTTCACATAACATTAAGAGTGCAAACAGTTTGGTCTATGCACGATTTACCGAACATTATGCCATGTAACCTTTTATTAATCGTTCTTGAATGTTTACAATATCGTAATAAAGTAATTCCCAAACCATCATTTATCTCTTTAAATGTATGTGTAATAATCATGAAAAATGAACAAAAGATTGCAAATAATTATTTGCATGTCTCTTCACAACTGTACATGTACTTACGACGTGCGCGTGCATTTATTTTCGCGTGCTTATTGGTGGGAAAATATTCCAAATGCTACAATGATATAGGAAAATAAGAAAGCAAAAAAATTAAACAAAAAAAAAAAAAGAGGAGAACCTGAGAAGGAGACTGGAACCCAGATCTCCATCTCCTTTGACCAGAAAATCGTAGAGAATCTGAGACCGAAACTATCCTAAAATGGCGGCCGATGACTACCTGAACGAAATGCGACGACACTTTGAAAATAATAACCGCACGAAGGACTTTGTCGCTCACACTGCCAAGGTTTGTTAAAAGAAACCATTTTTGTATTGTTAATGTAGTGATATCTGGTGAAGAGAATTAATTTTAACTCAACACTCGATCTTTTGCAAGAAATAGACAACTGTTTGTTCGATTTGGAATTGTCATTTTGCACGATTTTACCTTAGGTTCATTCCGTTGCGTGGAGCTCCGATGGTAGAAGACTCGCATCAGGATCTTTTGACAGAACTGTTAGTATTTTCGTTTTGGAAAAAGATCGATTGGTAAGCATTTAAACAGACTGTGTCACTTATTATTGTGCGATCAACTGGTTATTACGAAGCACACGCACCTAATCCGTTTGACTGAAAACAAACTCGTCACCTGGCTGGGACGATTTTTTCCCGTTCAGGTTTTCGAAAGGTTATTTACTGCCACTGATTAGATACCGTTCCAGGACTTCTCTCACCAGTAAAGAACACAATTCATGGTAGTCACACTGCTGGGTTACTACCATGTTAACCTTTTTTAAGAGTGACAAACATCTGATTTCTCCTGTCACAGTTACCTCTAGAACACACATTAAGGTCACAAGAAGAAAGGAAATGGTCACCCAGTAAAGAATCTCTTGATTGTTAAACATATTCTCCTTGTGGGCACCTTAGGAAATGTATAGAGAATGGTATAGAGAATAAGCATACTGATGTGAGGGTGTTTACTTGTTATTTATTATTTATTTCGCTCTTTGCCAAAGGCAGGTAAATTTACAATAAGACAAGTTTGTGCCCTGCTAGGTAAATTACCTTTCTCTATCCCCTAGAAACAGACAAGCTTAAAACCCAACCCACTTATAAGCCCCCATGCTAAGAAATAAATATATATGTGACTTGTAGCACAATCATGGTGCCCATTTGGGGCTGTTCAAATAATTATATCAAAATCTTGGTCATCAAATGAGGGATTGTTTCAAAACTTGCCCTTTTTGTGCTACAATGATTGTAGTTCAATAAAACATCACTATATTCTCATTTGAAATAATTTAAGGGTGGAAAAATATTAAAGATTACTGCAAATATACCCTTATTTTCAGTGTAATGCGTAACATCTCATTTGCATAAATATAGGAAGAAGGCTAAATTTTGTGCTTAAAACCAGAACAATCTGAAACTTCCATTACATCCATTTATTGAGTAGGAACAAAGTACAGTGTGCAAAGTGACAGCGTTCAATGTCCTTTTTCAAAACATCATGAATAAAAATTTGAATTCTCTTTGCCGTTGTCTGCTTGTGTAATGCTGTAGATCCAACAGAGCCTCGCATCATACAAGTGCTGGTCTTGCAACTTGACGGCCGACCTAGAAATGAAGTTGACTTGTGTGAGTAAGGTTCATAGACCTATTTATCCTCTTGTAAAGCTATTTTTTCAAAATAAGCAACAGCAAGGCGGAAATTAGTGATTTCCCAATTTGGAAAGGATGTTGTCGTCAATAAGTATCAACTGAAATTAAATACTACTTACCCAGTTAACAGTACGTATCTCAGCTTGCAGGTCTCCTTGGCTGCCTAGGCATCTCCACAACACACTTCATGTAAATGAATACAAATCTCCAAAGTTTCAAAGTCTTATGTACAATACAAACAAAGATATACGAAATAAACCAAACTGGAAACCTATATTCACTCTCGCTTAGTGTTTATCTAAGTGTAATGATCAAATTTGAAACCCAGTCTGCACAGAAAACTGCCCAAGACGAAGCTCTCGAACCCCTAATTTTCCATTCAAATTGAGGAGTAAACATCGTAGGGCTCCTTTGTAACCTCTCCTCTGAATATGTGGGGTGTTTTGTGGACAATTTCAGGGTCTAAAACACGTGCTGGATTGCTATGCCTACTTCAGTTCTTGCTATCCCCCCCATTTCACAATCTTGAACAGAGCCGAAACAAAGGACTTCTTCAATGACGAATGGCAATAAGGAAAGCTCTTCAAGCGTTGAAAAGATGAAAAAGTGGAGAGAATAAAAGACAAAGAAAAAGAAAGAAGCTGACAGAAAGTATGACGAACGAAATCATGACGAAAAAAAAAAATTGTATTTGTTCTTGCCGGAACTGTGAGACGTGTGTGGAGAACTAAAGAGAAAAAGAAATAACATTTACAAAGTCCCTATGGATGTCAATGAAGAAATTATTGCCTCTTTGTAAATCCAGATAGTGTTGAAATATATTTATATATTGCATTTTAGTCATTATTGCCAGTGAAATCAAGTGAGAGAGTCAAATGCCACGCCCACAGAGGATTGTGGGTATTTAATAACTTTGCTTTAAAAATGTTACAAGCATTGCAAAACTCATGAAAAATGCTTTTATGATGATAACTAGCTTTTATCTAGCAAACAATAATATTTTTGGCACGCTTACTGCATTTTCATAAAAAATGCCTTATGTTACACAAATGGGCACCATGATTGTGCTACAAGTCATATATCATTAACAAAAGAGAAAAGAGAAAAAAAACTATGGGTACTTGATTAACAATGTACAAGAATTAAGAGCATTGAATTGACAACATTTTACACAAACTATTATAAAAGAATGGATGCTGTCTTGATTGAACACTTTGATAAGTCTTAGGTGAAAGAAAGATTTTAGTTTTTTGACAAAAGATTGTAGTTCCTTTTCAGCTCATATGTTATCTGGTAAGGCATTCTATATGGTACAGATTCTAACAAAAAAGGAATCTCTATACAGTGAGGTTTTAGCTTTAATATTTTGTAGAAAAAGACCAGAGGCACCCTCAAATTGTTCAACTTCTTGTGTCATATTCTGTTTTAGACTAAAGAAACAAACTTCAAAGGTCATGGTGAGAGTGTTGATCAGCTCTGTTGGCATCCCAGCAATCCTGATCTCCTTGTTACGGCATCAGGAGACAAGACTATCAGAGTATGGGATGCAAGAGGTACATAAATTGTAACACCTGTTTTGAGGTTTATTTGTACTAATTTACTAAATCATATCAGTGGTGAGATCAAACCATACAAGAAAGCAGTAGATGCTAGGATGCCCTCCACATAACTTCGACTCCAATGATACTTAAAGCCCATCGCTCCTCCTGGAGCATACACAGCTGACAACATTCCACCAGAGTGCTCTGTCCTGGGCTGCTCTTTCAAGTTGTCTCCAGGTCTTTCTCATCTTCTTGATGTCTGTGTCGAGGTCACAGTGCCGGGTATTTCTTGGCCTTCCTCTCTTTGACTTCACCTGGGGATTCCACTTCAGTGCCAGCCTTGTGATGTTGTTGACCGGCTTCCTCAGGGTGTGCCTGATCCATCCCCATCTTCTACGCCAGATCTCTCATCAGATGGAGTCGGGCCAGCATATCTGGAGGATCCTTCTCAGGCAGCTGTTGATGAAGGTCTGCACTTTCCTGATGGTGGTCTTCGTGGTCTTCCATGTCTTCGCTCTATACAGAACTACTGACTTGACGTTAGAGTTGAACAGCCTGATCTTTGTGCAAGTTGACACCACTTTGGAACTCCAGATGTTCTTCAGCTGCAAGTATGCTGCCCTCGCCTAGCCGATTCTTACTCTGACATCTGCATCTGTGCCGTCCTGTCTGTCAATGATGCTGCCCAGGTATGTAAAAGATCTCCACCTCTTCCAGCTTGCTTCCACATAGCGTGACTGGGTCTTCGCTTGCTGTATTGATCTTGAGGATCTTGGTCTTGCCTTCATGAATCTTGAGACTGACTTGTGATGAGGTGGCTGCTAGCTCTGTTGTCTTATCCTGCATCTGCTGATGGCTGTGGGAAGGCAGGGCCAGGTTGTCAGTAAAGTCCTCTAGCTGGTCGAACAGTGTCCACTGGATCCTGTTTCTTCTGTCCGCTTTTGATGTCTTCATCATCCAGTTGATCGCCAGGAGGAAAAGGAAAGGTGACAGAAGGCAGCCTTGTCTGACTCCGGTCTTCATGCCAAAGCTGTCTATCAGTTGACCTCCATGGACCACATGGACCACTCAGCGTGTCATTCCTTCGTAGGAATTCTTGATCAGGGTGACCAGCTTGGTTGGCATTCCATAGTGACGTAGCAGTAGATGCTAGGATGCCCTCCACATAACTTCCACTCCAAATATACCTTAAAAGTTTAATCCTTACCAAGTGCTTGGCAAAGCCAGGCTGACACCCAAGCATTGTTATAGTTATCTTATTGCCACACTGCTCCAGAGGAGAGGCTAGAGGGAAAGAGTTTGAAGCCTTTAAAGATAGCAAATTGTTTGCATTACAATGAATATACAAAATTGTTAAAACGAAACGATAGTTTTGTTAAAGCTCGCTGAGTTACATAATTAAGATCTGTTCAGTAAAATGTTGGCTGTAATCGCATACACATAGTGTAGGTTTTGCCACTTCATGTTCGTNCGCCAGAGTGCTCTGTCCTGGGCTGCTCTTTCAAGTTGTCTCCAGGTCTTTCTCATCTTCTTGATGTCTGTGTCGAGGTCACAGTGCCGGGTATTTCTTGGCCTTCCTCTCTTTGACTTCACCTGGGGATTCCACTTCAGTGCCAGCCTTGTGATGTTGTTGACCGGCTTCCTCAGGGTGTGCCTGATCCATCCCCATCTTCTACGCCAGATGTCTCATCAGATGGAGTAGGGGCCAGCATATCTGGAGGATCCTTCTCAGGCAGCTGTTGATGAAGGTCTGCACTTTCCTGATGGTGGTCTTCGTGGTCCTCCATGTCTCCACTCCATACAGAAGTACTGACTCGACGTTAGAGTTGAACAGCCTGATCTTTGTGCAAGTTGACACCACTTTGGAACTCCAGATGTTCTTCAGCTGCAAGTATGCTGCCCTCACCTAGCCGATTCTTGCTCTGACATCTGCATCTGTGCCGTCCTGTCTGTTGATGATGCTGCCCAGGTATGTAAAAGATCTCCACCTCATCCAGCTTGCTTCCACATAGCGTGACTGGGTCTTCACTTGCTGTACTGATCTTGAGGATCTTGGTCTTGCCTTCATAAATGTTGAGACCGACTTGTGATGAGGTGGCTGCTAGCTCTGTTGTCTTATTCTGCATCTGCTGATGGCTGTGGGAAGGCAGGGCCAGGTCATCAGCAAAGTCCTCTAGCTGGCCGAGCAGTGTCCACTGGATCCTGTTTCTTCTGTCCACTGTTGATGTCTTCATGATCCAGTTGATTGCCAGGAGGAAAAGGAAAGGTGACAAAAGGCAGCCTTGTCTGACTCCGGTCTTCACGCCGAAGTTGTCTATCAGTTAACCTCCATGGACCACTTGGCGTGTCATTCCTTCACAGGAATTCTTTATCAGGCTGACCAGCTTGGTTGGCATTCCATAGTGACGTAGCAGTAGATGCTAGGATGCCCTCCACATAACTTCCACTCCAAATATACCTTAAAAGTTTAATCCTTACCAAGTGCTTGGCAAAGCCAGGCTGACACCCAAGCATTGTTATAGTTATCTTATTGCCACACTGCTCCAGAGGAGATGCTAGAGGGAAAGAGTTTGAAGACTTTAAAAATAGCAAATTGTTTGCATTACAATGAATATACAAAATTGTTAAAATGGAACGATAGTTTTGTTAAAGCTCGCTGAGTTACATAATTAAGATCTGTTCAGTAAAATGTTGGCTGTAATCGCATACACATAGTGTAGGTTTTGCCACTTCATGTTCGTTGTTCTGCTGTATACTCAGAAATTGTATCTTGAGTCGTGTGTGAGAAAGGTTTAAAATTCAGGCTGGTAATCTTCATGGTATATGTCCTACACTTAATGTAACCTGTTAGCAATATGAACTAAACTTGGTAAGTTTCATTGGTCCATGATCATGAGTGATGGCTTTGGGGTGAATTGACATACCCTGTTTAATGAATTGAAGCTTTTCACCTTCTGACCTTAAAAGAAGTGAAGAAGGTGGCAGTTAAAAAGTGGTGACCCTCTAAAAGGCATGATACAATTTTACAGTTTTCATGTTTTATTCACAGCTAGCAAGTGTGTATCAGTAGTAAATACCAAAGGAGAGAATATAAATATATGTTGGAGTCCAGATGGGAACACAATAGCAGTGGGAAATAAGGTATTACAACTTAGTAATAAATTCTACTTTGGGGAAGTCCCTGAAATCAAACTTTTATTAAAGAAAGAGTATTATTCAGTACTCCAGTCTCAGACACCTACAGTNCACAAAGTGAAATAATTAACTTCCTTTCTAAGTCAAAATATGGCCCCTCATACCCATTTTCAAATGGGCCACCCTCTCTTATTGGGCCCTCTTTGTTAATCTCGTCAAGAAAAGTGGAAACAACTCTCTGGATAAGGGGTTGTGAGATATTTATCGTAGTTGTGTATGTTGCGCAATTTTCAATTAGGTGTAGAGAGTGATCCCAGATTGCATTACTTTTGCCTAACTTTGCACTACGATTGGTCCAAAAAAGACCCCCCAACCTCACCAATCAGATGCCAAAACTAAAAGCAATCATGATGGGGTCAGTTACATTTTCCTGCGGTTTAAGAAGCTTGTGTGTTTTTACTTTGATTTTTCATGGGCTCCTTGTGACACTTTCCTTTGCTCTGAATAGCTATTTTGACCACTTTGGTTTTGTTTTCATGACACTTAGTCCAAAGGTCAATTAAAGCCTTTAGTCTATCTTCTCTAGTTACCCTGAGTTGAAGCCATTGCAGACGTTGCACGCTCATCCTGCTAACTGTATATGTATAAAGTTTGACCCAAAGGGAAGGTGAGTGAAGCTTCATATACAGAAAAACAAATCTACAATTGTGTAGGCCTTGGTAACATATAACGTTTTGCAACAGCACTGCATTTTGAATGAATGGCGAAACTTAGAGACGATTAAATTTGGCTTTTCTTAATTGTGCGGGTGCATGGTATTAACAAGGTATGTAACTTAAAGTAGTGCCTTCAGGGAGATTCTTTAGCTAGTTTTATAGAAGTGGAATCTACGTTATGCTAATTGATAGTGAAGCCATCTACGTAGACAAACATAGCGCTGTTTCGTACAAAAGTTTGCGTGTGCAATGGATAATTCTATGCATTCAACTGAAAAAAAAATAACGCAATAACCTGACTTTTGCTCTGAATCTTGAACAGATACTTTGCTACTGGAAGTGCAGATGCCTTAGTAAGTCTGTGGGATCTGGATGAGCTGGTTTGTGTTCGAACATTCTCCAGATTAGAGTGAGTGACAAAGAAAGAACAGTTATCTCTTGAGTGTCTGTCATAACTCGGAATCGCATTGGTTTGCACCATGATGCTCTCTGATTGGTCTAAGAAACTCGCGCCACCCTTTCGACCAGTCAGGTGCGGGTGGGTATCCCTCGTTTTCCCACGCTTTAGGCAAGTTGTTTTTACTTTGAATTCTGATTGGCTCCTTGTCATTTTTACTGACTGACTTTCGTGATGCGGCTGCTGCTGTTTTATGTACGACAGCGCGTTCATGATCGGCACTTCAAAAACTATTTAAAGAAGTGTAATATTTGTCACGAGCATGAATTCCAGAGTTCCCCGTAAACATTCGAACCGAGGCAAGTTCCGTTATCGCTATGGGATGCCCTACCAACGGGGTAAGGAGAGCCCACATGCTAATTTCACGTGACCAGCAATGTCGACACAGACATATGGGGAAATCCAGAGACCGAGAAACAGTAAATTTTGAGCTCGGCTACCTTTAACCTTGGATCTTTTCTTCTCTTCTCTATTTGTCGTATATCTTTGTACTCGTCTATTGTTACTGATTCAAGGTCCCATGATACACAGTAAATCGGGTTTTTCACCCGAAACCCTGTTTATGTCTGTAACATGGACGACAACTGTATGGTATTTCTCTCTGTCTTTCAGCTGGCCTGTAAGAACGCTCAGTTTTAGTCATGATGGAGGGATGCTAGCGTCTGGTTCAGAAGATCTCATTATTGACATAGTGCGTGTTAAGGATGAACTTATTTTTTTGGCTTCATTTTCTGTCTCCCACCGCCCCTTCGCCCCACCCCCCCTTTCTCCCACCTTGGTTTATCGTGCTTGTCTGAACAACGTCTTCACACCGTATTAGAACTTTCCCGTTAGTGTAACACTGCATATTTTTTTTTCAGGCGATGGTTGAGACAGGGGAGAGGATATGTGAAGTACAATGCAATGCTCCAACATTTACCGTAGCTTGGCATCCTCAGAAACCTCTTCTGGCATTTGCTTGTGATGATAAGGTTAAGTGGTCCTACAGTTGAAAAGGATCCTTAAGCGCTCTATTACTCTGTTGCGCACCATTTTAGTGGTGGAATTCCCCCCCCTCCCTGCTCGTAAGGTTTGAAAGTGAATTTTTTGACAAAACATTCTCAGTTGGAATTCATTGCTACGTTTCGGTGTACCAAAGGAAATGAAAACTTTCGTTTCCTTTTCAGTGGATTTGGACAATTTGTTTTGTGCGAAATCTTCATAATCGCCTGAATAAAATGTTGACTTCCTCGTTAATCTAATTGCACAACACTCGGACTGGAAAATCATATTTCCTTAACTCTATCGTCAGCCTTGTGGGATTTAAGCATTTTTAACATAGGCGTAGAAAATTGGATTCACCAATCATATTACGTGTACCATGCACAGTTATGTCGTTATCGTTAAACCTGTCCATTCGCACTCATTCAACCGTTGCATTGGCACAACGTATTTCAAATTTAATTTTCAAATTAGCATCTGTCCTCCGATATCTGTTTTATTCCCTGGTAGCATTTCATAAAAACTTTTCAATTTTCCTTTCAGGATAAACACGATCGTGATGCAGGCACTGTCCGTCTATTTGGCTTACCAACTAACTCTTCATAGAGCACATTTAGAACGAGTGTCTTAAAGTGGAACCATTGTAATCATAGCAGCCGATCAGAACAAAGGAAACTGTTCAAAGAGCCAATTAGAATCCAAAGTAAATACAAGCAAACTTCCCGAAACGCGGGAAACGCGAGAGACGATTGGTTTTACTTTTGAACCTGATTGGTTGGGAAAGTGACGCAAATTTTCTGGACCAATCACAGAGCGAAGTCAAATAAATCCAAACCGATCCTGGACTACTTCCGACCCTCAGTTAAAAATTGCTCTTGGTCAAATAGGACTAGTTGAACGTACGTGCGAACGCTCTACACTTCAGTTTGAACTCTCCCGAGACGGTCAAGAAAAGATGAGGGGATGCATCCTCTTTTGGTTATTTTGTTATGTATACTGTTCTGTTTTTGTAGCCAATTAATTATTGTGGATCGCCGTGCATACGTGAC